AAAAACATTATCAATCAGCGTAACAAGCTGGTTGAGCGTAAGCTATCTACATTGTACACAATCGAAAGACCGCGACTTAAGCAATATACTTATAACTTAACACAATCAAAAGATAAATTAGAAACGTTTACCTCACGTTCACGTCAGACATTCAGCATATCCCAAGGGTAGCGTGTTGAAGATGCTACGCTTTAACATTAAAACGTTATTACATAATTAAGGCAAAGGTATAAGGTTCTTATTTTTCTTATGGCAAATATTTAAAATGGTTGTTGACTTTGACAGGAACAAAGTGGAAAGCAGAAAAAGGAAACCCTTTGAGGTTATGTAATCAAGATTTTAATACGAAAAAGGCAAACGATTTTGGCTAAATAGTTTTCTCATCTTACGCGGATCAAGAAATTTTGTGGAATCGCCGCCACGTACAAACAGCTCGCAAACTTCATATGCTCTTTGAGCAGAGTAAATACATCAAAGGAAGAAAATAAAAAAAGAAAGAAAGCAAAAAAAGAAAGAAAGGAAAAGAAAAAAATACAACTAACATCAACTAAATTATGGCTCAAGTTCTCATTTACGCACTCTATTATGCCCCTCCCTCCCCCTTGTAATTCAATGTTTGAAAAAAAGAAAATTAAGCAATATATATACGAGATATGTAGTCCGTCAGTCAATGGAAGTGAATTTATTTTTCTTCTTTTTTTTTTTTTATGTTCTCACTCACAATCTCGTTTCACTCTTCATTCATAACACAAAAAATGATTGCAATGTAACTGAAAGTTAAGGTTATCTACTGAATGCGTGCATTATACAAGAAAGTGTTTCGAACGAAATGAAAGATAACGAGAATGATAGGTACTTTCTGGGAAGTTGTTAAGGAAGAATAAAACATTGTGTATAAGAGCGTTACCCTTAGGAGATAATTGAAGCTTCTTAACACACAAAATCCCTTTAATATTCTCATTGATAAACTGAAAATGATATTTAGAGGGCAAAGTGATTAGAAAATCATAAACAACATTCTCTTCGTTTTAACTGCCAGTAAATAGAATTGTAGCAAGTGCTTGAAGAGATGAGAGAACATTTTAAATGCATACAAGATAACTTCATCTGGATCTAAGCAAATAGAACGTAAAACAAGTAAGAAAACTATATTCGGTCGTGACCGAAACATGAAAACACTATATACAGACCGAAATTTTTATCGTTTATCTCTGATAGTTGAATAATGCATAAAAAAACCCAGAAAACCGAGATCCGAACGTTGTTTTACTTATATGTTCAACTCGACACTATGCACTTATTCGTATACTTAAGTGTAATTTGCTTCCTTTTCGAATGTCTGTCTTTAAGTTTTCTCCATCCGCCTGAGTAGCCGAAGGGGAGGAATCTCGACTAGCAAGTCAATGATCGACTTCGAATCTCAAGTGCGGTAGAGTTTTTAATAAAAGCCGATAGCCTTAGATGCTAGTGCTTTTAAGAGTTTAGTCTTAGAATTTATTTCTGTGGCGAAATTAATAATAATAATAATAATAATAAGTTTTCTCATTTAAATTTAGCTGAACAGATTAGCAACTATGCCTGACAAATGGGGGAACTAGAAAACACTACGAAAGATACGGCAGAGCGATGTGTAAGTTCGTAGACCAGATCAAATAAAATTGAAGTATCATATATTTAGAAAGTTGCGGCAAATGTCTTGTAGGGACACGCTTATGCAGACGTATGTAGCACCCAGAATAAACTGAAACAGACCTATTTTCTGTGACGCTTGTCTGTCTCTCTGTCCGTTTGGTTTTCTAGTATTTAACCTACAAGCCGCAATTTCACATGACATGTTTTGAGCCAAGGACGAACGGTGTTGAAAGTTTTTCGGATTAGACTAGCTTTTCGGCCACTGCATGTACAAGGCCTCATTTTGAGCAGTGGCTACATCAATACTTGTAGAGTGTTGTAGATTATTTGTTGGGAGAAGCATGGACTACTCTAGTGCTTTTACTTGCTTCCCTTACTTTTCCACTATTTCAAGCGTATATTTGTAAATGAATATGTAAATAATCCAGATAAAAGCTATCTCTGATTGGTATATGGAAAACAAAGTTAAAAAACCATTATCGTGTATGTCTCTAAATTCACACTTAAGTGTGGCCCTAAACTCAATTGAAGTTCGAAGTTCTTTAGTTAGACAGATAGATATAAGGATTATACAGAGACTTGCGTTACAAATTATCGGAAATGCTCAGTGATTGAATAATAGTTTACAGATTTACCTTTTACTTATCTCATGATTTCTTTTGATACCGGCTACGTTGCATAAAAACGCAAATTGAATTTTTACATAATTTTTCCTTTTTCATTTTTCCTTCTTTTTTTTTTTTGCACATTTCAGACACTTTATCAGCATAAAGTGCTCATGTTTAACTCGCAAAGATCATGAACAGTCAGTCATATTACAAACATATCAAGCATATCACAAAAAAATGAAATGAAAAAAAAAAAAAAATTAAAAACAGAAGAAAAGCGGAAAAAATACTTTATATAAATTTCATAAACATCACCCAAAGGATTTATAAATTGAAACTGAAAAGCAATGTACACAGAAACCCGGGAAAAAAGCATTCTGCATATCTTAAAGATACAGAAAATATATAAAATACGTCTTTTCTTTTTCATTTTTATTTTTTATTTTTTATTTTTTGTTTTTTGTTTTATAGTAGTAGAAAGGAAACCATTTTCCTTTTGATTCTTGAGAAAGAACAAAAATAAAAAAAACAAAAAAAAATAAAAAATACATCCACTTAAGGGACATAAAAAACACGTACATATAAAAAATGTAATATTTAGCGGTAAACGGAGTAAAGAATATGTGTAAAACTGTTTGTTTGTTTACTTGTATGCAACGTATTTGCAACTTGAACGAGTTCTTATATGGTTTTAAGTTGACACTCCTAGGTGTCAACAAAATAAAACAGCAACAAACATAAATAAACAATAATAAAACACATAAAATACAAATGACTCTAGATGTGTGCGGGTGTCTTCGTCGAGAGGTAATTTTTCCTTCCTTTCTGCTTTTTTATTATTATATAATATCTCAGGGGATATATAAATGTTGTTACGAATAAGCTCGGTAGGCTCAAAGGTATTTTTTTGCTTCTGTCATAAGCTATGAAAGAGAACATATACATATATAATTATGTATATGTATATATGTATGTATGTATATATATATGTATGTATGTATATATGTATTGAAATAATGCAAAAACAAACAAACAAGCGGAAAAAAATGAATCATATTTCAGAATTGAATAAAGCTGAAGTAAATAAGGAAATTGTATTTGTCTCTCGTGATAGCCATCAGATAGGATTTCACAACATAATTCACATTAAAAATAAATTAAATTTTTTATAAAAGTGTAAAGTTTAACTAGGTAAATAAATAACGTGGCGTATGAGTAACATATGTAAATGTTGAAAAAAAATTACTTCATTATTTGATTTGCGAAATTCCTCTGATCGACACATCATTGGGGATTTAATCAATCAATCTTTCGGTGAAAATGCCACGGCAACAGGGTAATGGAATGAGGCAAACCTTTTGCAAATGAATTTGAATTCATTACAAAGTAAGTTCGTAAATTTTCGGCGTTAAATCAACCTCATGCTTAATAAGCTTGCAAAAAAAGAGAGAGAGAGAGATTGTGAGAGGGAGATAGACGAAAGTAGACAGTAATGAATTGAAATTCAGTAGCAAAAAGGCTGTATCATTCCATTACCCTGTTG